TGTTGTTATTGCTGTAGCTTTTCTTTCTATTGTATTTATATTCATATCTTAATTACTGACGCATAATAATCACTGGAGATAATGAATTTTGTTTTAATTATGATTTTATTGTCTGGTATCCTTATGAATTACTAGTCTCTTTTTCATGTTGTTATTATCATGCACCTTAACTTTTCATGTCTTTATTGGTGACTAATGGTGTTCTTTAATTGTTTATTTTAGAATTAACGGTGAAGGAGGTTTCATCGCCGATGTCCAGTATGAAGGCGAGGCTGTGCTCAAACGCTAATAGAAAACGGCGATAGAGAAAGTGGGAAACATGAAGGACAAACTATGTCAAAAATATATGGATTATATGCAGTCACATACTTGTCAATCATGGACGATATGTCGCCTTTCATAGCATTGACATGAATGTAACGTTTCAGATTCGTGTGGATGAGATGGAAAGACGTCAATTCCACGGTGCTTCCTCAAGTAGTATGACCACTGAAATACGAAAACTTTAGCCATTATCTTTCACAAAGACTAAATAGTCTTTGACTTTACATACCGCTGTGATATGGGTTAATCTTCATAAATCAGACTACTTTTATGTTACATTGTTGTCTGTTATCTTGTATCTTTGTTTCTGCATTTCCCACACATATTAATGCAGTAATAAATTTTACAATTTTGTTACTATTTTACTTTGCACATAAAAGAGGATTTTAAAGAAAGGGTGAGAGTATGACAATATGAGAGAGAGAGAGAGAGAGAGAGAGAGAGAGAGAGAGAGAGAGAGAGAGAGAGAGAGAGAGAGAGAGAGAGAGATGTACAGAAACAGATACGCTCCTCCTGCATATTCGTTATGTTATTTGCGTATTTCTCAATCAACTCATAAAACACTATAGAATACATACATACATACATACATACATACATATATATATATATATATATATATATATATATATACATATACACAAATGTATATATACATATATATGCATGTATGTGTCTACAGGAACACGCACACATATAAACACACCATCACGCAAACTCACACACGCAAGCACACGCGCGAAACACACGCACGAAACACACACACACAAACACAAAACACACACACACACGCATACGTACACGCGCGCGCACAAACACACACACACACACACACACACACACACACACACACACACACACACACACACTATAACGTACTGCACAGCCTATTGCATCATACAAGCTCCATGCTGTTCCAATCTGGCAGTCAATAAGGAGAGGGCAGCACACTACACTCACTCCCTTTTCCGGCTACACATCAGTAAAGGTGCTGTCACACTAGCTCTTTTTCCGTCAATTTTTGACAATTTTCTGAAATTTAGTCCATTTTTGAGCGAATTTTCGATTTTCCAGTCAGACGACAATGATCGTTTCCGTCTGAAAACTTTAGCGTCAACTTTTTCAGCCAAGCATAGTCAAATCAAGAGATATATTCGAGAATGTTTGTATTGATATTAAATAAAATTGTAAAAAAATTTACTGAAAAAGTGCTAGTGTGACAGCATCTTAAGCCGTAGCTACCTTGACCTGACATTCCCCGTGTCGAGGGCGCGACCCAAGGATGACCTCCGAACCGTGTGGACCTTCCGACCCTTCATATAACACATAAAACGTATTCACAAACATAAAACATATTCACATACATATAAAACAAATTCATATACATATGTATCAAATGTGTATCATATACATGTACTTATACATATGTATCATATACATATACTTATACATATGTATCAAATGTACATATATCAAATGTGTGTCTAAATATATATGTATACATGCATATATATATATATATATATATATATATATATATATATATATATATATATATATATATATATATATATATACTTATATATATACATATGTATATATATATATATATATATCATTATTTAATATATATATATTAATATATATAATATATTATATATAATATATATGTATATGTATGTATGTATGTATATATATATATGTAATATATACATAAATATATATATATATAATATATTATAATATATATATATATATATATATATATATATATATATATATATATATATATATATATATATATATATATATATATATATATATATATATATATATATATATCACACGCCACAGTGACTGTGCAAAGCTCCATGGAAATTACCCAGTACATGCTAACACTGATTGTGTCCACTTCTTTCGTCCTTTGTACAATTTCATGGGCGTGCTTGCGCGCTCGCATACGTGCTTACGAGAAAGCAGTCATTTTACATGCAGTCGATTTATGAGATTAGTTTTGAAATATGTAATTGATGTATGCATAGAACAAATACAATCATTGCACATGGAAACATTTCCTGTGGATGCAATAAAAAATCTGGTGGCAATAAACTTGCACATCTCGGTCAAGCATCACAAGACAAGGTCCATTTCACTAAACTTGGCACCACCGCATATC